CACACACACACACACATGCCCTCTCACATCATCCGAAGTTGTTTTATTGTCAGGGTTAGAATTAGGTTATGGTTAGGTTTGGGCTAAGGGTTAGGCACAAACATTCATTTTTGATAGTTAAGTTTAGGGTAAGTGGCAAGGGAAAGCATTATGTCAATTAGATGTCCTCATTAGGATATGAAAACAAGTGTGCATGCGTGTGTGTGTGTGTGTGTGTGTGCGTGTGTGTGTGTTTTTATGTGTAGGTGTGTGTAGGTGTGTGTGCGTGCATCATGCGTGCGTGCATCATGCGTGCGTGCGTGTTTGCTGGGCAAGAAACATTATACAATCATGTTAGAGTGGCACCCAACTACCCAGCACATTATGCCAGGCCCACAATCTGTGCAGGTGGTGGAGGCGTTGCCTTGTATGGTGGCTGAGCTAGCTACCACGAACCTAAGAGTAAGTGCATTTTGTTTCAAGTGGTATAAGTTGCAGCTCATCACTGCTTAGCTAGTGTTACTTTTGTTTTCCCATTTAAAAAATCAAGATCACTCACCAATAGCATAGAGCTTGATGCCTCTGTCTCTCAGGTTCTTTGACTTAAAGTAAACTTCATCTTGGGACTTTCCGTCAGTGATCAGGACACCAATTTTGCGGGACTCTTCTCGCATGCCCACACTGGGATTGAAGTTGCTGTTACAGATGTATCTTAGAGCCCAGCCTACAAAATAGCAACAAAGAAGTTTTACAAAGAGTTCAGCCAGAACAAGTACATGTCACAATGCAGGAACAGACTCAAGCGTTGGACCAAGAAAAAAGTTGAACAGTTTATTTACAAAAGTCACACCAAGTGATATATACAAAATGTGCAGGGGAAAAGAGGTCCAGACATCCTAGGGCCGGGAAGGGCAACAACAATCCTCTTCAGTCACACACGAGAACGTTCTCTTCAGTCACACACGCCACTCGATACACTCGTCATAACTCCAACATACATACGTCAGAACTCCAATGGAAAACAGGCAGGGACACATCCAGGGAAATCTATGCACAAAAAGAGAATGAAGTCACAAACCAGGAAAATATATGAGGAACGAGATTAGTATGAGAGAGCCGGGCAACACTGACATGAATCATGCAACGATCCAGCGATGAGAAACACCAACCTGCCATCTTAAATAGTCGCCAGAGAGCCAAGGTAGTGAGCAGCAGGTCCTTGCTACATACCTTGGTGCGCAGCAGCACAGACTACGTAGCTCGCCAGGCATGACGGCACCTGGGGAGATGGTGGTGGTCCAAGGGTACCTCGAAGGGAGACAATCCGGTGGCTAAGTAGATTAAGCGTACTCAATCCAGGGAAGACAGTCACTCCATACGGACTGGTTGGTTGATGCCACACAACGGAGGGCTGATTCCTGTTCCTGGCTCATGCGTTCGGTTTGCCCATTGCTCTGCAGGTGGAAACCAGAGGATCAACTAACCCTAGAGGTCTTAGCAGAACAGAACACCTTCCAGACTCTTGAAGTGAACTACAGCCCTTGGTCAGAGACGATATCCTCTGGTATCCCATGGAGGTGGAAAACATGGGTAGTCAGGAGTGGGGCTGTTTCCAGGACTGTAGGAAGCTTGGGTAGCGTGAGAAAATGGGCAGCTTTAGAAAAATGATCAACAATGGTAAGGATGACTATATTACCTGCCAAGGGTGGAAGGCCGATGACAAAGAGGCAGACCCAATCTCCCAGGTGATGGCTCCCACTGTGCAGGATGGAGGTAGGATGGGTGAAGCTTCACAGGACTCTTCAGATGAAGCAAACTGCCAGGAAAGATGAGATGACTGAGATGTTTTGCAGTTTGTAGATAGGCCAGGTTCTTGAGATCTATCCAAACAATGAATGGTGCCCCCACTCCTCCAGGGCGAGCTTGATCGCCAGTAGCTCATGGTCTCCCACATCATAGTTTTGCTCTGCAGGTGATAACTGACGAGAAAGAAAAGCACATGGATGGAGCTTACTGGGAGAGGACAGCCCCAATTCCAGTGTCAGAGGCGCAGGTCTGTTTGAAGCCCAAGCAAACCACTGCTTGAGCTGGTTGAAAGCTGCCTGAGCCAACTGGTCCCACTGAAAGAAGCTCTTGGGAGACGTTGGACAGGTTAAAGATATGGCTTTTTTGCTGAAATCACAGATAAATCTATGGTAGAAAGTGAAAGAAAAAACAAGGAACCATTGTAGTTGCTTTCAATTTTGTGTTCTGGCCAATCCAACACATCCTGTACCTTAACAGGGTCTGGTTTCAGGTTCCCCTGCTGGATGATGTAGGCCAAGAAACTGACCGCGTCAATGTGGAATTCCCATTCTTCACCTCTGACAAAAAGTCGGTTCTCCGGGAGACACTGGAGCACCTGCCTTACATGATTCTTGTGTTCTTCAAGCGATCTGGAAAAGATGAGGATATCATCTTGTGGTGGAGGTGTGGTCCCTGGCTCAGCTGCAGGGAAGGAGTGGTGCAGTGAGCTCAAAGGGGCGGTACCGGGAGGCAGGTGAGCCACAGGTGGTGGCGATTGACTGATGATGGTATTTCTTTCCGTTTCTCTATATAGTGAAGGCAGAGTCGAGTGGAGAGAGGAGAGAGCTGGACTGGAACAGACTGTTTTCGTTGAGTGCCCAATTGTCAATAAAAAGCAATAATAGTGAGCACAATCACCGTGTGGGTCATGTACATCTACAAGTGATGCCAAAACCCAGGAGTGGGGTGTCTGACCCACACAATGAACCACCCGCCCAGCCTGTGCAGTTGTTGACACAGTTGTTGGCACCGATGCTGGCGGAGATGGCAATGATGTGCCGAGACCGGGCGGTGGCCCAGCGGGAACACCTGATTAAGCTGCAGGAACACTCAGACTGGCAGACCAGGTCCTGGAGTCGCTGGCGCCACCGAAACTATCTCCTCTGTCAGTAACGATGCACTGGATGGGGGACGGTGACGATGCCCAGGTCTTTTTGGAGGCATTCCGTGCAATGGCAGAGGTGTGCCAGTGGTCACAGCAGAGTGGGCCCAGCAGCCGATTCCACTACTGTAGGGGGAGGCTCAAACGGCAGCCCTCAGCCTACCGCCAACCTTGTGGAGCAGCTTCTTAACAAAGAAGCTTCTTAAGCCTCCTTTACTGGCGGGCGCGATCTTTTGGCTTAGCGGGGCAAACAGCGATAATGTGGCCCTTACAGCCGCAATACAAGCACTCACCAGACGTAAGGCGCCGGTGCTGTTCAGCTAGAGTTATGTGGTGAGTTGATTGCAGGTGCGTTGGCCAAAGGCCAGAACCCCTGATGAGTTCTGCCTTGGCAGATGAGAATTAAAGCAGAGGAAAACAAAAACAAACAATGGAGTGTTTGATCCTTGAGTGACGCCAAGAAGGCACGGGGTCCACGTCAGTACAGTCATATGAGCAGATTACAAAGACTTGTTTTTTGTTTGTTTGTTTCTCTCTTGGTGTCAGCTTACTGTGATGGGGGTTTGTAGTCCCAGGAGCTGTTTTGTTTTTGGCATGCAATTTACTCCTGGTAGGATCTCCCTACAAACAGATCCCAAGTAAGGGATCAAATTGAGGGGATTTAGAAAGCCTCTATAAACAGGAACTCCAGAGACCACATTACACTAATTGGGACAGGGTTCCATGGCCCTACTTGGAGGCAATACTGTGGATTGATTGGCAGCCAGCGGCAGCCAGCGGCAGAAGCTCTAGCGGTCTAATCCCCAATTGCCAGTGGCTACAAGGACATGGAACATCACCACTCTAGTGGTGATAGAGCCTAAGCTTGTGCATGAGGATGAAAGATCCTGTCTAGATATAGTCAGACTCACCTCAACACTCCACTTCTGGAACCAGCTTCCTTGTAGAGGTGGTGGAAAGGAGTTGTATCCCTTGCCATTTGGTGTCACTACACTTTTTTTTTCTTAGGGAAAAAGAGATTCAACTCTGCAGCTGCATGTCTTGTACACTCAGGTAAAGACAGGAGCAGAGCTGTGAACTGATCACTTTTGATGGTGAGTTATAAATATCATCATGCCCAGACATATAGTGTGGGTGCACTGCAAGTGTCTAGCAGAAGCCCCTGTACTGGAGATCTTCAACTTCCACCTATCCCAAGGAGGCTGGATACACTGAGTCAGAGATCACTCCATGAATCCACAGACAGCTGCCAAGTGTAGCCCATTGTTATAGGCCTTTTGGAGACTATAGTGAGAGCTTCTTTTGTATTGCCAATAATAAGTCATACACCTGCGGGCTGGACTCCATCAGGATTACATTTGTCACAATTCTGTTCACATTTTTTATGGAAAGAATTTCTAGGCACAGCCAAGGAGACAAGGGTGTTGGGTTTGGTGGTCTCTCCTTTTGCAGACGTTGTGGTTCTATTGACTTCATCAAACAATGACATCCAGTTGTCACCAAGATGTCTTGCAGCCAAGTTTGAATCAGCTGGACGAGAATTGGCCAGTCAAAGTCTTAGACTCAGGTTCTCAGTCATAAAAAGTTGGAGTGCCCAATCAGGCTGTAACTGAGTAGCTGTCCCACATGTAGATGTTCAAGTATTTTGGGGGTATTGTTTGTAAGTCAGTGAAGGATGGTTGGTCTAGCATCTGTCATGCATATCCTATATCGGTAATTGTATTACTATTGCTATACACTATTGTGGTAAGTGTCCTAGTTGGACATTGACTAGCTGGACACGTCTAACTAGGACGAGGCCCCAGGGAACACTCAGGACGGTCTGGCATTGGCATTCAGTTAGTTTAAACGCAGGAAGGACAGGTCTGTTGTGCTATTTAAAAAAATACCTGTCATGGTGCTTCCTCCTTTATAAGGCAGGTTGGCGATGGCCTCCAGTAGGGATGCTTTGGAGGGGTGGGCATTCAGGTGCCATTCGGTCCTTGGGTCATCGCTGTACTGAACCAGACCTACAGTAAATACATCCAACAATGTAGCTAAACACCAAGGATACCCCATCCCTCACTCTCAGCTTCTTCACAAAATATACAAAGTGATGAGAATTAAAATAATCAAAAATGTGATAAGTAAAGGAAATATTGGAGCTGAAATTAGATTAGTGCTAATAAATTAGTTGGATATAATGAATATTTGTTTTTAATTTTGTATTGCTGTGCTGTCATTTATTATCTTACTAATAAAAACCAACTCAGTAATTTTAAATACTTGGATGGATGTATTTGCTGGATAATATCCTAAAAATCAACCTTTTAAGCCCAAGTGTTGATGTGGAAGTCTCAAAAGTCCTGATATCAGATTGGTACTCAGTATCAGCAAAGTACCCAAAGTACCACATCTGTATCAATTGGAACTGGAAAAGTTGCATCAGTGCACTTTGATCTTCTGTTTTTAAACGAGTCATATAAATAAACTGACATGGCTTATTCTTTAATAAATGATCAGAAGGAGTTTAAAGGGAGGAGGAGCTACAACAGCTTTTTTTTTCAGAGGGGGCAGAACAAAGGCTCTGTATATGATAACATGATGCAGTATACAATAGTAGCAGCAGTGAAAGCTTTACCGATCTGGACTCTGTCAGGGCCAATGTCAAACACGCTGACCAGGCGAGCGATGAAGCTGCGGATGGTTTTGAAGTTCATACGCCCAATGCTCCAGGAGCCGTCAAGCAGCAGCATGATGTCGGCCTTCGCTGTGGTCTTACACTGAGTGTCTGCACAGGCACAGTGGTGTGTGTGACATCTGGTACACAACAGATACTCACGACAAATGTCTGTTAAGTCTTATTGTGTGAGGGAAAATTGAGAAAGACAGACAGGAAATACATCAGGAGGAGAGAGGAGTACATCACAAAAACTCACTATCAGAAACCAGATTTACATTACATAACACAAATGATCCACACTCCTAACCCACTGTGTAACTGGCGTCACTTTTTTAAAATTTTAATTTCATTTGTCTCAGAGTAGGATGTGATGCATAATAACGAACCTGATGTCTCACAGTGGTTAAAAAAAAAATCCTCACAATTATTCCAAATCCATTCTGAATGACTGTTGATCAGTCCTAAACCCCCTCAGTTTTGTTTATAGAGCAGCATTTCAGAGTAATTTTTCTGCAGCATGTTAAATATGCCTTACAGCAGCTCTGCCTGACCACATGGACCTGTCGAAAACACTGAATTAAATCCTGCTGTGGATCCAAGATCTTGGAGTTGGGAAATCAGTCACTGTATCTGCTTCCAATTACAACAGGAACTTCTGCTAAGGATCAGCATGTCCTTTGAGTCTGATGGAAAGCATTGCATGAGACTTTTTCATAGGAAAGATTCACATTGTAAATCTTAATAAACATGAAGCCACATTTAACTACACATTTAAGCTGCATTACTGCTCTCGGTAGGCTATATTTATTGGTTTAAAGTCTTTAAAAAAAATAAAAAGCTCCTCCCAGGAAATTCAAACTAGATTTAAGTTCTGATGGATTATCTGATCATCATAGGTGAGAGATAAAACTTGAAGTTAAAGCAAAACACTTCACAGGCACACGTTTGCTTCAGTTATTATTTTAATGTAGACTAAAAGTGCAGTTACACACAGCAGGCAGAGGACAGACAGAGGTGAGAGGAGGTGGAGGAAGTCAGATGTGTTGGATCAAAGAGGAAGAGGACGGGGAGGAGGAGCCACTTTACCTTGCTCCTGGGCCTGAGAGGAGGACAGCAGCAGTGCCAGGAGGGCCACAACTGTTGCCAGAGAGAGTCTGCTCTTCATCTTCAGCTCTACTGGTCTCAGCAGCGCATGAAGGAAGCTGCAAGAGGAACCAAGGAGGCGGTAAGGCTTCCTCGGGGCTTAATAATAATCTTTTTTTCTGTCTCTACAATATATTCTTTTTCTCTCATTTCTGTGGCTCAGATTATTTCCTCTCAGAGTAGAGACATGCACTTAATATTTCTGCATGATGAGAAATATTCACTCATGAGGACAAAGTCATCCCACTGTCTTGCGTAATGGAGGATCAAGCCGTGGCACTGTACGCAATTACGCACAGCAATGCTGAGATATAATCCATATAAAAAACGACAACAACAACAAAAAGTAATATTGCAGAATTTAAAAAGCACGCAGATTTTAAACAGGTGATAAATGAAAGCGTGTGAATCAATCCCCCTTAAATTGCACCCAAACAGAAACCTTTAGGCGCTGACCTTCAGAGGAGACGGACACAAATGTCGTTTTCTTAAACAAAAAGTCTTCGCTGTAGACTCCGGCCAGAGAAAAGTGGGAGTGAGGTGGTATGTCGCAGACTGCAGTCTTCTTCCAAGTGTGAAGAGTCTTCACACAATCTGCTACTTAACAGGGGGTGGGCTGCTCCCAGCTCTGCCGGCCCCGCCACAGTGAGCTCTTACGACATCCAGCCATGATGCTTCATTTATGGCACCGCTATTGTGTCCATTTGTGTAGCTGTTTGTCTACAGAAATGAGCTTTAACCCAGTGCCAACCTGTTTCCGTGCAGTCTCCAAAGTTCTAACCGCAGTTTATTGGACATGGATAGCGCGGCCGAATGCTGATTGGTTCACAAGTGGGCAGGAACAGAGAAAGGACTGATGGTGGAGGAAAATTTGTCAAAAAAACCAAAACAATACAATGAGATATCCCAGATATCATATTTAATGTACACACGCTTGACCTATATTTATATATTTTTCCACCTGCATTTAGCAAGCTGCACCTGTCCTGTTAGTAAATTACCCAAAACTCATGTCTTAGTTTGTGATTAGGCGCTAAATTTCACTGCTCTTGTTAGATTATTTCCGTCATATTGAAATGAACTGACTGGGTTTCTGCTTAAAGAATAGCAATAGGGATTGTCCTCACAAACGGTTTTACCCCATCTAGTAAATCTGGCCTTGAGTGGGAAAATGTGAAACATTTTTGTTGGCCTCCTACATTTCACTCATGTGGTGGCTGTAGCTCAGGACGTAGAGTGGGATTGGAGGTTGGCAGTTTGATCCCTGGCTGCTCCAGTCTGCATGCCAAATATACCTGGACGACATACTAACCCCAAGTTGCTCTCTGATGCATCCATTGGAGTATGACTGTGTGTGAATGTTAGATAGAAAGCACTTGAAAGCACAGAAGAAGGTGTTTGTATGAATGGGCGAATGAGGCTCTGAGTGCCCCGGGAGAGTAGCACAGCGCTATGTCCATTTACCATTTATTTACCTTTATACACCAACAGTCAGCCATTCTACACACAAAGAGCCACAAACTGTTTTGTTGATCATGAGAGCCATGTTGTATTTATTGATCCTCAGGTCAACAGAGAGAGAGTACAAGAATTGTAATGTGGTCACATTTATAAATGTGTTTTGAAATGCCACAACATGAAACACGTAGTCCAACACAGATGGAGTATTTTTAAGTGGCTGACTGGTTTGGGGGAACTGGGACCATACGGCTGAAGCAGAGGAGTTAAACTTCCTTCTGAATGACGCCTCGACCAGCTCAAATGGCACCTATCCATCTCCTGAAAGTAAGAGTTCAAAGATGAAGATTAAAATGTACTTTTTTGTGCGCGCTAATCTGAACACCAAACATATTGTCCATGCACTAAATAAAATGATGCATTTTGTTCTTTAATTTTGTATTAAGTTTTCTGTATAACCAACATTACAGACTGTAACATGTCCATACACCCAGCAGCAGAGAAGCAGAAGAGGAAACACTCACGGGTGGTCTCGGTGCCCCTGAGAGGCTCGCTGCTCTGCTTGCCAAACACAGCATAAACACTGATGACGTACTCAGTCAGAGGGTTTCGATTTTCTAGCAATACAGTGCTCACCGATCCATTGACTTGCAGCTGAAACAATAAAGGATTGGTTCTTATTCTGTGACCAGTGAACGAGTTAATGACCAAAACCAAAGAATACTTCAAACCAACAGCTGGACTCACCTTTGGGATGTCGAGAGGACTACAGCTCTCACCTTTTAATCATTAGATGATTATAGTTAGCTGAGCCTAAATCTATTGTCCTGCATTCATGAGCTGGTGACAGTGTGCTTATTTGTGGACAGAGAAGTGCACGTGCTATGGACGAGCAGTCTGCCCTCTTAAACATTCAGGTTATTTTACACATGTTTGGTTGGAGTCTTGCAACATGTTAATGCGCTGATGATGAAATTTGCGTCATTTGGTTAATGGATTATGTCACTGTTAAACATTGTCTTAGGCTGATTGATCCTTTCTAGCTACTGGACTTGGCTACAGAAGGATGAGCCAGTAGCAGTGTGAGTCTCTTCCACACTCCCACTTTCTGTACAGCACTTAAAGGTGTGAAGCTGGCACACTATTTGTTTTCATCCTCCCTCTACCGTGTAAGGTCAACAGTTACTGCTAAGTCCATCCCAGCCTCTTTTATTGTTTTTTATTCATTAATATTGATTTGATGACATCATTAGGCCAACAAACAGTTCAATTCAATT